AACTCTTCTCAGACATGTTACTTATGGCCAAATACTGAAAATTCCCATTCCTGTTTGATCACTGGAGTTAAGCAATATCAAACCTGGTTAGTATTTGGATAGGGGACTGCTTGGGAACACTGCTTATTGTACACAACCTTCTTTAATTCAAAATCTTTTTGCTTAAAATAACCCACAATTGGTTGGCAAAGTATAAAAAAAAAAAAAAGAAAAATCTATTTGAGACAGATCAGCCAGATCTAGACAGCCATACATGCATTTGTTTTTAAATGAAATTAATGTCAATTGGCTGTAGAAGAGTATACACCATTGAATCAGCCTCAGCAGTTTGGTAGGTTCCATGTACAGCAACATGTTTCAAAATGAGCAAAGTTATTTTATGATTTTTTTTTTCTTCAGTAGATGATTGAATTTTAATATCATGAGTACCAGACATAGACTTATAAATTAACCTTGCTGGTTATTTTTAACTTTGATGATGAATTTGAAGCGTGTGTAGGGTAGAAATAGAGGATTTTAGTTCTGATGTTGATTCAAATATCCGCAGCGTCAACAGTAACTCAAACACAATAGGCGTGTTGTTGAAAAAATTATATTTGCAATGTAGTAGACTTTTTTTCCAACAATTTATTTGCATTTTGTTTTCATGAAAATAACCAAAAGCAGATATGTGCAAAAATGCCTCTACCATGGAGGCTGAGGATGTGTGGGTGATGTTATGAGAACTCAGGGAGCCGAGTTCTCCCTTCAGCTATGGGTTAAATAACAGGACTTGGAAAAAATTATCTGGAAAAATTATTTTTTAAAATTGTTAATGCAGTATTTATTCCTAAAAAAAAAAATTTTTTTAAATTTTTACAATCCAAAGATTTTTGGTTTTAAATAAACCACAAAGAGTTGATACTCCATAAAATAATTCTACCAGGCTATAAATGTTATTGAGTGGTCAATTTTAAGGAGGTGATGAGAAGTTCTCTGGCCATTCCACTTCCCAATATCTATATTTTAATGACCAAAGCTCAGAATAATCACTTTTGGGAAGTGAACAAAGAACTTTTCATCATGAAATTTAGCAATAAATCAATCTGAAAATGGTTAACTGGTTTATTTTAGATTGTTGCATATGAAATTGCTGATTTATTTAAACAAAATAAATTAAAATAAAAATTGTAGAATTTCAATCTTTATGTATGTATTCCACCTTCAAAGAATTTCTTTATTCAAAGAATGGATATTCCTCTGAAGGATGTCAAGGATAGTGTAATTGCTATTAGTATGAAAAGTATAATCAGCAATGCAAGTTCAAATCCTGGCTTAGTTACATTCAGTTTCACAATATCTTTTGGAAAAGTATGAATCCATTTCTCCTTTCAACTAAGGGTTAAATAGCAGTGTATACTAGGCTCTCGAACCTTGGGTGGTAACCAGTCCAGGAGAAGGAAAACTGAATGCTAAACCCTAGAAAAGGCAATAGGAAATTGCTCTAATATCTTTCACAAGAAATCCTAGTAATTCACAGATAATAAAGAAAAGAATTCTGTGGTAAACAATGCTTGCTGATATATGGAATGGACATGACATTTAAAAAAAAAAAAATATTCAAAGTTTCTTCACTTTGATAACTGATTAAATACATTTTTGTCTATAAGGAAATAGCCTGTTTAAATCCTTGCAAAAAAGGGGAAAAAAATTCTATAAGAATTTGGGTGATTTGGCAGGTTGTCAGTATTCCAAGAGTCTGAACCATTGATTTTATTGTTTTTATTGTTATTTCAAGGTTTTTATTTTTCCAATCTATTCTCCATCCTTTGTTAAGTGCATTATCTGCATATTAAGTGCATAGAAAGAATTTAAGAAGGTTCTCTTATTTGTCCCCATTGTTTGATATGCACTCAGCAAAAAAAAGGAGACCCCCACTATTCCTCACCCTCTAAGTCATCTCTCAGGTTGCACATTTGAAAAATGCTCTAGAATGGATTATCCAAAACACTGTGGTAACAACAAAAGCCCCCCCACCACCACCACCAAAATATAGCTCTTGGGGAAAGGGAGATTAATAACTCAAATAACTTTGTCTCATAATGACAGTCATTATTATTCCCAATGTAATGATACCTCTCAGTTATTTTCTTATCTGGCAATATGCAATGTGTGCGTGTGTGTGTGTGAGAGAAAGATGAAAGTAATCTTAAAACCTCTTGTAGCATTGACTTTACACTCTCTGTATATTTATTTGAAATTATTAAGCATTCAACAATGCTAAAATGTACCAAACTACCAACTGAAACCGGAACTTACCTCACTTTCTTTTCTGCTAAAATATTTACTAGTCATCTGGAATTTTTATTAGGTGAAGTACCAGCAGCCACTATATTAATGGCTGACTAATAATACTAGCAGTATTTATTTCATTATAATTTTGTCTGAGTTATAGAGAATCCCAACAAAAAGTGAGAAATCTGAAAGAATTGGCATGCACCATTTTGTTGACTAAGGTGACATAAGTCAGACGAGTGCTGCATATTTTAACATTGTGTAGCTGGCATTGTTCAATATGGAATTCTTTGCCTCAGTTTCATTCTTTTATTTAATTCTTAGCATCTCATATCACATAATATCAAAATGGCATTTTCATCTCATATTATGTCTAATTACTGAAATCTTAAGCAAACAACTAATTAGTCTTAATATTTATTAGATAATGTATTAACAAACATTATTAATTTTTAACTAGTATTTCTTTCATATTAATTTCAGTTGCTTTTCATCACAGCTACTTGATGAGATTATTAATTCTGAGCCATGCTCTTTAATACTGACTGTAGACCTGTGGTTTTCAAGGGGGGGGGGTGCATGCCCCATGGTTGGAGGGTATTTGAGAATGAGTTATTAACAATGAGTTTTTTCTAGTGAGTATAAATGTGTGCAAGTTAATACATACAGTACATATAAAGTATACATACATAAGTATGTAAGCAAATGTAAATGGATATAGATCCGACAGAATGAAGAAAAATTTGGAAAAACAAACAAAAATCCTTACATGCAATTATGTTGTTTAAAATGAATGAAATGTCGACGTCTGACGACAACGTGAACATGCTAAACGGAAAGCTGATCATTTTAAAAATTTTCAGTTATCTGTTTTGGATAAGACTTGTTTTTATGTCCATCATCTTTGTCAAATTGAACTGAATTGTATTTTAATGAATATTGTCCTGAAGAAGGTTTATTAAACCGAAACGTCAGATGTCGACATTTCATTCATTTTAAACAACATAATTGCATGTAAGGATTTTTGTTTGTTTTTTGCAAATTTTTCTTCATACATAAGTATGTATGTCTCATTATAAATATATAATATATATATATATATATATATATATATATATATATATATATTACACAACAAAATCCCAAATTACCTCATATGGGGGATATTCTATTTCAACTGACGAAACTTTGTCAGTCTTATTCAACTCAGACGTATAGACTTTGCTTGTGTTGGAATTAGAAATTTAACTATGACAGTCATTGAAAAATTGATACAGTATTTATCCATTTTGATGTTTCAGTCAGACAAAATGCACGAGACAGTGGTCAAGGGAGGGTGGAAGGTATTAGCCTTAAAGGGAAGAGGTTTTATAAAATTAAACCTTATTTATATAAAATTTTTGTATAAAACTCCCTCTTTTAATTTCAAATTAACGCTTCATTCTTCATATAACCCCAATTTAATGTCATAAGGTTAATATCTGCGTTTAATTTTATGAAAGCTCTTAAATAGGAGTTCACTTTTAATTTTATAAAACCATATAAATAGGAGTTCACTTTTTGAATAATGACAATTATATGCCACATGGGTGGATGGTATCAAGATTTTAGAGAGCCTTAGGTGGGACATGGCACCAAAAAGTTGCGAACTACTGTTGATAGTCTAAGTATTTCTAATAAGAAGTAACTAAAATTAAGATGATAGAAATGCTAGTCAAAAATTAACCTATTCATTAGCCAATTGTAATAGAAAATGACCAATCAGCTTGCAATACAATACAAAGCATATTCCATTTAATCCTTGTTACTTTAGCTTTATTTCCCAAGGAAGTGCCTATTTTTATGTTGAAGTACTTGATGTATTATGTAAATAAGCAGAATTTGATTAACAAACTAGAAGTGTTTATTTATATCAATCTCAGAACAATGTCTGCTGATAAGAATGGAAATTATAGAACAAGCACTGTTTTCTTGTTCATTACTCAAATATTGATTACTTGTATTATTTTCAGAGTTAATTGGATCTTTTGTTTTTAAAATTGTTTGATCAGTTTTAATATGAATGCATGGGTATTGTATAGTCATTTAATATACACAATTTTTTTTTCACACACACAGCCTCTGCCAAAATAGATTTAAGAAATTTCTTTCTTAAAGAAAACTTGTTCTATTCCTCTATTAATGCTTTTATCACTATTTATATTGTTTGGACAAGTGTCCTCATCATTATTGTCATATTCACGATGTTTCGGCTGTCGTACACACTGGCCTTCTTCAGGTGATATACATTGGAATTTCAAACTGAACCTATTATTTCGTTCCCGGGGGTAGATTGTTCAAGTTCCACATGCCATGCCTTTTCTGTATATTTCAATTTTAGTTATTTCCCTTTAGTAACTCAATTCCCAAAGTTTTGTTTATCTCTGCTGTGGACAGGTTTTGAACTCACAACTCTTTGGGTCAAGTCATTGGCTTACTTCAACCAGTGCTTTTATCACCAAGGACACATGGCTCAGTGGATAAAAAATTGAAATTCCAATGTATATCACCTGAAGAAGGCCAAAGCTTACAATGGCTGAAGCATCATGACTAGGACAAAGATGAGGACAACAATGTAAATAGTTACAATACCACATTTCAGAAATATAGACAGATATGCTTTTAGCAATTTGTCATCACTGATAATCCCATTCTTCTTGGTTTTCAATGTCCAACATACAAATTGAATGCTGAAATTTCTTGAAACAAATTTTAGGTAAAAAAATTGCAAATTATGTTGTTTAATCACTTTATCTTTTTTTATTTTTACTTAACCAGTCAACAGTAATATTTGTTAATGATGTAGAAAATGTCTAAAGCTAATTTCTGGAGCCAGTGGACAGCAATAAGTCGAAACCTTATACTGCGTTCAAATGCAGTTGGCACTAAAATACAATTGATGATTATTATGTCAGTGTTTTTCTTCAATATCAGCAAAATTTGCTGTTGTATGTAATCATAATAGTGAATGAAAATTTTTTGCTGAGATGCTGATAGGTATGCATCCTATATTTTACTGATGCATAATAATCTTAACGAATGCAGTAAGTTTCCCATCTGTTCATCCCAGAGATGCAATTAAAATTTCCCATGAAAAGTGATACATTGCACAAATCAAAACGAACCCATAACTGTTATGACATAGTAAAAGGAATTTGTTGTTAGTTGATACCAAGTAAACAACAACAATTTAATTTAAAATGCAACTAATATATTCTTTCTGTAACTGAATGTCAATCATTTGTCAAATGACCTAGACATTGATGGTAATTAGTACATAGATGTTTTAGTTTTTTCTTTTTGCAAAACATTTTGACTAACAACTGGAGACATTTGTATTTAACATTCAGTTCACTGTCAAAATAATATTTAACATTGGTCAAAAAAATGCCTGGACAAAAATTTTTTGGTATTGGTTGTAGGGAAGCCAATACTTTTTGTAATTTTAAATAAATACTGCATTAATCATTTGATGTTATTCTTTCAAATACTTTTTATTAGTTTTTCCTTTCTTTCACTTACCCTTTACCTTCTTTCATTGGGTGGTGAGATGTGTGGGTGGCATGAAATAGACATTAATGTCACCTTACCAGAAACATTGTTTTTTTTTTTTTAAATTTATTTGACACGCCTAAAAACTCTTTGAAGTTTGCTGACTGTTGCTTTAAATACTGTTTTTGTAAAAATTTATTGATTCAAGTGAAAAAAAACAACAGTTTTTGTCAACTTAAAAATTTTGTTCTGTCACAATTCTCAAAAAAAAAAAAAAAAGAAGTTTCTTAATTGAATTGTAATTAAATGTAAATACTGTGTTTTGAATTTATTAATCTAATTAAAAAAAACTGTTCTGTCAATTTAAGTAATTCGCCATGACTAAAATTGTCTTTTCGGATAATGGTAAAAAAAACTGTAGCTTTGCAGTTTAACACAAAACTTAATTAAGAAACTTTAGTTGGGACCCATTGAATTTCCCAGGGACACACTCAAATCATCACATGTGGGCCTCAGGGATTCACTACATTAAAAACCTATCAGCATCACTGCTTTTAGATGATTTAATCAGAATCTATCTATCTATCTATCTATCTATCTATCTATCTATCTATCTATCTATCTATCTATCTATCTATCTATCTATCTATCTATCTATCTATCTATCTATCTATACATGCATGCATGCATGCAAGTATTGTAAAATTAAGATATATTCCTTTATTTCTTTTCCAGTTGTTCTTGTTGGAGATTCTGGGGTTGGCAAAACCAACCTGTTGTATCGTTTCACGAGGAATGACTTCAATGCTGAAAGTAAAAGCACAATTGGTGTAGAATTTGCAACAAGGTAACTTTTTTTTATTTATTTATGTGTAAAGGTTGCTCAAAAAGTAATGAGTTTTAAAATGAAATTAGAACAATGTGTTAGAATTCATAAAACTGTTTTTCTTTTTTCTCTTTATAGCATCTAAAGGCTCATTTAAAAAAAAAATTGGACATTTACTCTCTCTCATTTTACCCATAATCCTTTTTCAAAATGGTTGCCTCTCTGGACACATGTAGAAAGTATTTATTACAGAATTTCTGGGGGTTTTTTGTTTGAGGGTGGGGTGGGGGGCAAATAAATTGCTGCAAACATTCACAGAAGATTAAATATTTATGGATAGGCAGTAGTTGATGTAAGGAGATGGGTCAATAGTTAATGGCAATCCTAGAGAGAAAGAAAAAAAAAACTAACTCTAGTGATAGGCCTTATTGTGAATGAGGATAAAGCCAATATTCTCATTATAACTGACAGAAAATCACTATTACAAAAATCCAAAAATGCTAACAAACTTCATGAAGGAGTAGAGGGTGGTTGTTACCCAAATCTGGAGCTGCAGAAAATAAATAACACCTTCATAAAACAGGGTTGTCCACCATTATAAACCAGAGAGTAAAAGAAAATAATTAGTGTTACATCATCCAGACTTATTCAAAAAAGAACTTTATGGTCAACAGCATTGCTATCAATTTTGTTTCTTACAGAAGTGCATTGTCAAATCTTGAAGCAAGTCTTTGTGCTGAGCCACATTTGAAGGTAATATGCTTTTGCAACATGAGAATTCATGGTTCCACAGCTGTTTGAAGATCAGAGAAACAATCTGTAAGTGTAAGTGTTCTTAAAGCAAATTTGTACTTTAATTACTTTAACAAAGGTGTAACCAGTCAGGAAAATAATTAACTCTCCCATATGTTTAGCCAAAAATGCCCGAATTTTCCCTTCCCAATCGAGAACACCAACTGCTTTTATTGGCAGAACCTATTTTTTTCATTCGTCGACAGCTGGGGTAGGATGCTCCGTAATTTGCATATCAATATACTCTTATAGCGACTCTAATGACGGACTTGTTTCTTTTCTGTCACAGAATACACGGACAGATATAAATTTGGGTTGTGAGGTAAGTCGCCGTTTTCTTCACTATAAGATTTTTGCTGACTTCTTTTTGGTAATCCTTCTTCAGCAGATCGCACACAAAACACAAACTTTTTTCCGGGGTACCTGATTATTACTTTCACTACACAATCACAGTGTATGGCAGAACAGCCTTGTCTAATTGGCTCTATAGACCTGACCATGTGCTCTCAGACTTTCATCTGTTGGACCCCTGAAGGATACATTCAGAGGACAAAAGTTCTACAATGATCAGATGAGAAGCAACTTTCACAGGTCTAAGAAAACAGCTTCTGCAAGAATATGTAACACTGTGGATGTAGAATAAATGAGAATAATATAAGTTTATGGATTAAAAAGAAAATAAATTTCCAAAATAATAAACAGCCACACAAGTTGGAAATATATTTTACTTCTGAAATATAATATATTTGATAAGAGAAAAAGTAAAAGAAGCAGGATGTGGGAGTGTCTTTTCATTGGTCTCTGAATTGACTAATTAGCAACTAGTAAGGTAAGGTTTTTTTTTTTTTTTTTTTTAAAGTTCCTCTCTCCAAGATTCTTCAGTGATGATGTTTTCAGTTTGGTAGTGAGCAGATGTGGGTAGGGAAGTTCTTTCACTGACTGTACCATCTCCATCACTGACAAGTGGTTGGCAACATTTCCCTGCTGAAGAAAATAAAATTGCCTGAGACAAACCCCATTGCATTGTGCCAATTATTATTGCAAGAAAACTTTTGCCTGATGACAAAATGGCTTTTGACAGAAATGACTTTGGGATATTGGCCTGAAGATGGACAATGCAACCTACTGCAAAGCAATGACTGTAGTTCACTGAAAACCAGTTCGAGCAACATAGGATTTTGTGACAATACAATATATAGATGCATTCATTGAAAGGAGATGGAGGTTCTCACAGACATCACGCATGTGAAGGATCTAAACTTCTATTCCTTAGATTTTTGTGATCATTTTGGTATGTTTTTTTTTCTTTATTTTTGTGCTTATATTACAAAATCTATTGTAATTACAAAACAGACATTACTTTTTGACCAATCCTCATGTTTTCATAAAATCTGCTTACTACATTTATCACCTACTGAACCTTAGTTTCCTTTAGAGCCTGTCATGGTTGATTATTAGTATGACAGCTTTTTATTGTTACTACTACCTAGACTGCAAAGTAGTTATGGGAGAGTGGTTTATCCAAATGCTCACTTACTGACTCTCTTCTTGGTTAACCATTGAAGTATGTTGGCAAGGAGCCATTTTGATAAGATATCTGGTAGTGGTAACTGAAGTGGTTTTTATGTTGTTTTTTTCCCCAAAAAAATTTGAATTTATTTTTAATGATAGTATTTGAAGATTTTTGCATATACAAAAATAATAAATAAACCTAAATATCAATTAGTTACATATTTGATGGAATATAAGATGCATATGTGTATAAGACACACCCCAATTTCAGCAGGGCAAATCAAGAAAAAAATTAGTAATTAGTAAAATTATTAGTAAATGATACAGCCCAGGCTATATTTATTAGGTATTATTTTGGTTAAACAAGCCATGATTACAATTAAACAAAAAATAATAGAAAAAAGAACTTGGGCCTATAAAAACTTTATTATATCCAAAGGTAAGAAAACAAAATAAAAATCAAACAATTATTACAACTGAGCAAAACAGAACAGTTACTATTAAAATTTTATTCATCTTCAAATCCACAAAATTTGTTGTCTTCATTATCAAAACTCTGATACTCATTTTCAATATTACTATCATTGTTGTTAAATAATGCATCATCTTCCATTCTATTGAGAGCATTGCTAATGTCATACTTTTTAAAAGATTTCACAACAATTTCTGGTTTAATATTATCCCAAGCTTGCTTCACCCATTCGCAGACTTGTGCAATGCTGGGTCTTTTTATTCTTCCTGTAAATGTAAGGTTTGGTCAGGTATTGCCATCCACATGTTGCATGTTTTGTTTGAATGGTCTATTCAAAGACACATCCAGAGGTTGCAAGTGACTCGTTAGTCTGCCAGGAATAAACGCTATCTCTGTCTTCAGTTTTGCCACTTTCTTTTTAATGGATTCAGTCCTATGCACTTGGAACTGATCCCAAACCAGAAGAGAGGGCTTTCATAATATTCCACCAGGACGTCTTTGCCATACAACTCGTAGCCATAACTATAGACCAGATTTGTCCATCCAGCCTTTTGGATGAACATGCACACCTTTTGGGATTTTATTATTCAGTGTAGTTTTTCTCAGAAAAGGAGGCAGTTTTGTGACATCAGCACAACATTCAAGAATGATCATATAATGGATCTTCTCAGGGTTTGTGGTTTTTATTGTAATAGTTTTGGATCCCTAAGGGATACTCAGTTTTGTTTGATGGAACATCAAATGTTAGTGGAACTTCATCCACATTTCCTATCTGGCTTAGTTCAAAAGGAGTTCTTTTTCAAGCATGTATAACAAATTTATGAAAGTTTACTATTTTGTTATCATAGTCAGCTGGGATTCTCTGTGCAATTGATGTTTTTGTATACATTGACAAACCTTCCCATTTCATAAAATAACACCATCCTTCTGTTCCTATAAAGTTTTGAATCTCCTTTTCATTCACTAATCTTCTAGCTTTGTTCCTTATCGTTTTTATGCTAACAATTCTGCCTGTACTCCTCTCATCTACAACCCACATTTTAATTTCCTCTTCAATTTCAGACCAGTGTGGGGCTGGGTGACAAAGGTTTCAGTATCCTTTCTTTACTGCCCATAGGTTATTTTCCTGCAACTGCCACTAACGTATCATTTTTTTTGTTTGTAGGCAGAAGGCTAAAATATTTTGCAGCTGCTCTATTTCCGTGCTCTTTAGCATAGTTTATTACATGAATCTTGTATGCCACAGTGTAGCTTAACCTCTTTCTTGCTGTTGTCATATCTGAAGGAGTGAAATTCAGCCAAAAATGTTCCTTTTATATAATCTGTACAACCTGCGTCTTGTAAACATCTTATTGGAATAATTAGGATATAAAAATTCTGATTGTATTTATGCCATTGCATTGGAAGTTATCACAAGAAAAATAATAATGAAACAAATATATTTTGCAAATATATAATATGAATTTATTGCATATAATTTTAGTGAAACAAAGTACTAATATTAAATATGATAAAATTGATATAATGACTATTATCAATGATAACTTTTTAATCTGCATAATAGCCTTTTAAATACTGACAGGAGGAATATGAAAGTTACTCTAAAGTCTAAACTAAACTAATAGGAGTTGCCAGGTAGCTAATTTCAGCTATCGCGAATTTTAAACCTACATCTGGCATATAAGATGCAGGGAAATTTTAAGATATTTTTAGTAAAAAGAAAGTGCGCCTTATATACTGTCAAATAAGGTATCTCTTTCGGTACACAATAAAAGACTTATTCAAATGGAAAGAATTTGTTTATCTACAATAATTTATGTCAAAAGAAAGGTGTAGAGGCTTGCTCAAAATATTCTTTTGAATGACTAATAAAAATTAAACTAAATAGACAAATGTTCATAAGTGGAGACTTATATTATTTGTGAAAAGTCCTTAGTCAACAAAATTTACATTTGTGGTTGATAGGTTAATATAGCAGCAGTAACATCAGTTATTAAATTTGTCACTGAGTGAATGTCATTTGTTATAAACTTGGAGAAGTTGGTACAGCCTAGTAGAATTATGGTTGCATTCAGCAAGTTGTCTTGTATCAACAAGGAAGACTTGGTCTGTTTGAGGGTAGTTTCAAATGAACAAGTTTAAAATTATCTGTTTTAAGCTTTTGTATATTTCCTGGGGGTTTTGGTTGTATATGTGATATTTCAGAATACAGTGTTCTCTTTAACTCCCTGCTGAAGGTAAATTA